GACTTTGTTTACCCCCTGACGATAATAGGTTAAGGTATTGCCGAAGCCAACATTTCCCCTAATAACATTCCGGTTTGTGCTAAAATACGCAAGATTAAGAAAGACTAAGTGCGGGTTGTGCTTAATAGGCCGGAAATGGGGTAGTTAATCCTAACATGTACATTTTTTGAAAGACAATAAACCGAACGCTACTGGATCGAAAGCGTTATTGGACCGAACTAAACCCCTTTATCTTAAACTGAGATATAATTTTAGGATCCAGACACAAAGAACGATTGCCTGGAACATTTTGATAAGAATGCCAAATGAGTTTTGAGTAGAATTTTAGTCGTCTACAATTCATGCTCGTTAGGTATTCGGAGGATAATTCTAAAGGAATTTAACTAGAAGATCCAGGTAATTTTGAGAAGTATTTCAAGAAAATTGTTAGGAGAACAAAAGGAATCCCAATGTAGTTTCAAAGATACTATTATAGGGATTATTATAAGTAAAGTTCCAGGGAATTTGTAACCTCCTCTGAAGGTATTCTGACGAACCCAATGATGATATGGATACAATTCTTACACTAATCTAAATCACCTACGACTGACAATTTATTAAAATTCAAACAATCTGACAACAATTCTGAGCAGAGCTCCAAATGAATATCAATAATAACTAAAAAAAAAACTTAATTCTGAATATGAATTAAAAAACAAAATACTATGCAGAATTTCATGCTAGTTTGAAAATAGTTTCATGGAATTTCCGGCTGGTGTCCTGAATATAATTTCTAAAAAAATCGGAGCAGGTAATTTACAATTTTGTGGAGAATTTAATGAGACTTCTAAAGAAAGTTTCAGGAAAATTGCAGGGAATTCTCCTAACGTTTTTTGAAAAGAATTTCAAGTGAATTCTTAGGAAAATTATCAAGCAACTCTGAGGTGGAAGAAAATTTTGGAAGAATACTTTAAATTTAAAAGGGCATACCAAGAAATTTCTGAGGAATGTTATAGGGAAATTTTAAGAAATGTTTCGCGTGAATTTTAATGAATACGATGATAAATATAGAGTATTCTGGAGAGTATTCCTAAAATGTTCTGCACAGAATTCCAAATATGGTATGGAGAAACATTGTATATAAATACCGGAGACAATTAAAACATTATTGATGGGAATCATGAAAGTAAATCTCACGCTAAAAGTAGCGAGTTTATATTTCATTCCCGGAAAAGTCACAAATGACCTAAAATGTATTAAAGTGACTGTAATACAATACCAAATTTTCCTAAGAAAATCCAAAAGTTACCAAATGTATCATGAGAAAACATCCAAAGAAATAATTCATTTATTTCAGCCATTGAAAATTGCACACAGGAATTCAAGCTATAGATAAAACTATTTTTTTTTTCAAGATTATGAAACTTTGATTGTTAACAAATTTGAAGCTGCTGCTGAAAGAAAACTGCTCAAGATTATGGGATCAAACATTTCTGAAAAGTATGACAGTGAGAGATCTCCATCTCAAACTAGTAAAAATCTTCTTTACCCCGCACGAAAATTCATTATAAAAAACATTCAAAATGTCGAACATCAGGCATCAGGAAACTTTTTAAGATTGCACAAATTGACAAACAATGATGAGAGGCATAGGAATTGTGCAAGATTTTGACTGGACTCATCTACGAAAATCTTTGACAAATTTCCGAAATTCTGGGGAATTGCTATTGTTTTTTAATTTGGGACTTCATTTTTGGTATTTCGCATTAAGGAAAAGTTCAGAAGTCTAAGGTTTAAGAATTCTGAAAGATTCTAAGTAAAATATAGAACCGAGTTAGAATATTTAATATAACAGAATTTAATTTAAATAGGTGTTCAAATATATTTTAAGGCTCCTACTATAAAATGTCCAATTGCTTCCGGTTGTTTCCGATTTACGGTTCAGTGCCCATGGGAGAGCTCAAAAATTCTAAGTCTTAATATTTTAAACATTTTCTAGAAGCTCGAAAAGAATTTCATGCAGGTGATCTTAATGTTAGAACTAAAAATCCACGCACATTGAATTCTTTGGAATCACGTATCACTAACGGATGCAATGTGCGTGGACATTGAGCTAGGAGTACTAAAGTCACAGAATGTCGTATTTTTTGTTACAAAACCAGTCTTAAAGTGGAAGTCGAAAAACCACCTGGAGATGTAAGATGGAAGAAACCTCCTGGGTTAGATGCAACTTCCACGAGAGGTGCTAAAAAGAGGGAGAGGAGAAGCCAGAATTCATCAAGGATTGTTCAACAGAAGTTTAAAAATTAACATTCTGATAAACTTATTTGATCATCAGATAAAATAATTTCTCTGTTTCACCGACCAACAACTTTGTAAAATTTGGTTACGATCTGTATTTACGGAAGAACTTCAAAGTTTGTATGGGAAACGAAAAGAAACTATTCGGTTAACGATTCAAAATTGCTCAACTTTGATCAAACTTCAGACTAAGATTGGGAAAACTATACAGAACAGCTTTGTCGAAGACCTTCATCGATTTTTTACTTTACGTACCGTATGCGTGATAATGTTTGCACCATCGTACAAATAAGGTTCCCGTTTAACCTGTGCATACAATGCCTTGGTTTTCTTTGCATGCACGTAACCTATAGCTCATACCGTAGTAGGCTGCGTATAAAAGAAAATGAGTTTGACAGTGGCACTATGGCGAAGTGGCAGCGTATTCGTGATTTGTCCCACGCACAAATTTCGCAAAAAGACATTTCAATCGCCGTGCGAGTGTCCCGGTGGACCGTCAAAAGGGTTTTAGACCGAGAAAAGAAAGGACAACTATCCGCGAAGGTGGCCACAGGTCGTCCGAGGTCAGCTCGGGGTCCGAGGGTTATCGCTGCTATCAAAAGGAAGATTCGGGTGAATCCAGTGCGTTCAATAAGAAAAATGGCAAAGGAACACGGGATCAGTGCATTTACGGCAAGGAAGATTGCGGGGCGAAGTCGAGGGCACGGAAAAAAAATTCACATGATTACCACCGCATCCGGGAGCTACGAGTCGAACGATGCAAGAACATCTTGAACTTCCTTAAGCGAAAACATCCGGTAATCCTGTTCACCGACGAGAGCATGTTCACCGTCGATCCCGTATCAAATTCCAGAACCGACCGGTATATGTAGTAAAAGACGAGACCGACGAGCACAAGAACGTGTATCTGACCAAGCATCCTGCTAGCGTCGGGATTTTAAGTAAGTATGTTCTAATGTGGATCAAAGAACAGTACGGTCCGAAGCCAAGCGTTGTATTTCAACAAGATGGGGCTCCGTACCACACCTCGAACCGCACTCAGAAGTGGTTGCAGGAACATCTTCCGTTCTGGGCGAAGGATATGTGGCCGTCATCTAGCCCCGATCTTAATCCGCTGGATTACTCAATATGGCGCGTCATGAAGGCCAAGGCCTGTTCTAAACACCACCCGAGTACGCCAAGTTTTAGACAAAAATTGACCCGTACCTGGAGAGAAATGGATCCAGACTACATTATTAGAACCTGCCGTGCATTCCGGAAGCGTGTGGAGGCCGTAATTGCAGCAAGTGGAAACTCGATCGATGATTAACATATAGCGAATTCGTTTATTATTCAGTTCCAACCTGGATCGGGTATCAAGATTGGGTCTGCTTGTTTTCTGACAAACGTCAGTTTGATCGTTTGTTTTTAAAACCCAGCTCAGGTTGAGGTTCGCACTGACAAAAAGTTCGGTTTCGCACGGTTTCACATTTTTGAGAATTTTTTAAATTTTGACATTGCTCAATGGCGCAAACATTATGACGCATACGGTAATCATAAATGGGAGCAGTTTTCCATACATTTTCCCATATAAACTATAAATTTCTCCCTACATCGTAATCCAATTCGATCAAATTTGGCACAGTTATTCGGGACCTCCATACAGGTTGAAAGAGCAGTAGCCCTGCTCTCCTGCTCGTAAAGTTGAACCACCATAATGTACATATTGGCAAAATTTATTAAATGCCTTCAAATGGCGACCCTCATTTTCATTTGATTTTGAAATGACTCAGGAAATTTTGCACTGCATATAATGAACAATTTAGACTGCAATAGCTCTATTCTTCTTCATCTTGGCTTTTACGTCAGTTTTAGTCTAAGCCTTCCCTCAACGTAATGTGCACTCCCACAGTTGCTAATTGAGAAACATTCGTATGTTTTGTGGAAGCACGAAAAGTGCCTTTTTGAAAACTTTCTACATTGTTTTGAATAACATAATGGCCTACTTTCCTAACTAAAATAACAGTGTCGAAAAATTCTACTTGGCAAGCCTCGTTGGATAAACTACGACTCATACTGAAAAAATATTCATTTTGCAACTTGTTGCATAAATAGTTATTACAGGACCGGTATTAAAATCCATCGTGGAGTATATCCAATATTAAAAAATATGGAAAGCTCATTATCAATTCTACTGAAAGTCTCCTTTTTGATAAAAGCGTAAATGCGATAAAATGGTATGTAGTCTCGGGCAATGCATCCCAAACAAAAGAACGGGTTCGAAGCCACGGGCAAGCGAAAAAAAGTAAAATACTCGCAACCATCTTTTAGAATTTTCTTTCAAAAGCCTTTTTTCAGATGCTTTTATCAGAAGCTTTCCTAAAATATATTTAACGTGTGTTTTCTTTTCACTTGCCCTAGAACGTTCCCCAAACTAAAAACAACAGGGAATGTATACTAAACCTACGTAGCTTCACACCCGGTTACATGGTTCGACTAATTATGCGTTTTTGAAAGGTTTCAGCGTTTGAAAGATACAATTGTGTAACGAACTGGACACAAACTAAGTTTCGGTTGCTGAAAGTCTCTATAATAAAGACAAACAAAAGTTTCGTTTTTTTCTTTTCTGAAACGTAGATAAAGTTTTATTCCCTGCCGACTTAAAAAGCTCTAATTAACTAAGCATTTTCCTTAAAACAATCTATGCGGGTTGCTTTGCTTTAGTCATAAAAGGAACATACCATTACAGTTTGGCGACTTAACATCAACGGCAGCTAGAATTAGAAATGAAAATGTTTTTGACTACGGTTGGTTCTGATTCTTGCATATGATTTCCTAAGCCATTGATGATGTAATCATGGATTGAAGTTTCGATGAATATTCGGGTGGCAATCAGAGAGGATACACGTGTTTTGCTCTAGGTATTAATTACTTGCCTCCGATGCGCGGCTTTGGCAATTATGCCACGAGCGTAGGAGTTGTTAAGTACAATCACGTGGAATAGGTAATTGAAAGTAGATGTACATTTTTTCAGTAAGCACCAAGAAAAAATCGTGAAATGAAATTTGTACGAGTTTTATGTCAAATTTGCAAAAGTTAATTAGCGTAATCAAAGTGTGAAAACAGTACACTTAAAATTACTAAACAGGAACGAAAAGTATAATTGAAACAATGTTTAAATGATTCCTACGGGTCACTGGTGCCTTACAAATTAATTGAGCTTGTAGTATTAGAGCAAATAACTGTAAAATTATGTTTTTGCTGTTAAACTTAAACGTAAACAAATAAGGCGAACTTTTTTCGTGTCTGGTTAAGGATATGAAGAAGATAAAAGAAATTTGAATAATTTAGTATCAGAGGAAAATTTTATAATTGAACGAAGCTTAATATCAGAAACGATTCGAAAACACATTTTCGAACAGGTCTAGTTATTTAACTTTTCCATCAAACATCACCAATCCACCTAAAGTAGGGAAATCGAAAAGCACGGAAACTTACCTGTTGGGTTCAGTCCACCAGTGTTGGTCGGAATAGCACCGGCAAGTCCGAGCGCTGCCAGTCCGGCCAGTGGGTTTTTGGCAAGTCCGCCAACCTAGAGGAAAGAAAGACAGAAACCATAAAGAGAAACGGAAACAAGAGGAAACATGTAATTAATTATTGCAGTATTTGCTTAGCGTGCTACATTCTGGCGAAAGAAAAAAAAAAAAAAAAGATCAAACACCACCATTCCGAGGAATCAACTAACAACACTTTGGTGAGTTGCGGGTAGGACCAATATGGACGCCATTAGTCTGTTTTATGATTAGTATTGGGGGGTATTTTAATGGGCAGCTACGAAGGGATACATGGAAAACTCATCAATGGTTAATGTTTTATATTGATGCTTTGGGGGAGGTAACAGAATTTGGCTGATGCTTTCTAAGAAAATTCAAAATTTTCTCATCAAAGGGAATACATAAGCATAATGATTTTAAATTGCAGTATTCTAACTCTGACCCGTGCCTAAGGCAGATTGATTTCCGAAGCAAATTTGCATCGACAGATCAGTGAAATAATTTGCTCGAAAAATTAATAATTAATAGCTACAGCTCTCACCCCAAGTAGAAGTAGAGAGGAGTAATTATGATGAGATCAAAAGAATGCTAATCTGGAAGTAATTTATTTAATCTGGTCCATTTATCCGCACGATAAACCCATCAATCATTTTGCAAAAAGCAAACAAACGACAAAAACGGTTCGATTGGCAGACAGAGGAGCAGTTTTTTTGTTTGCTCAACCACACAGTCAGTCAGTGGACAAATTGGCAGCAAATAAACGACAATGCGAGAAAATGAACAGCACATTTTCCAAAAAGTGCGGTAATTTGGTGACGGAGGTGGGAAGTAACTATTTGCTATCACTGGATCACTGTGCAAACAAGCCTCCTGAAGCAGGACCAACGTTGATTATAGTCGCTATATTTATAGTCTGGCGGATATAATTTCGGGATCCAATTTTAGCTGCCAAAAACCGGAACCAATCGAGCACACTTAGAAATGATTACCGACATCGGTAATTTTTACCGAACTTTCAACAGCTGAACTCGGTAAAAATCCGGCATTTTATTCACAAGTTTTAAAGCTTCAAAACAAGCAAAACTTCCCCACAAATGCAGGATTCGATTATTTAAACAAGGATGACAATGTGTTAAAATTAAAATTTAGTGGAACAGATTTTGAAATGAGGGTCGAAGTTTTAACGAACATTCAGCTGTTTCAGCATTTCTAAGTGTGAATAGTACTGAATTTTGCAGTAGAAGTATTGCGATCGTGCCATAATTTATGGAGCAATATTAGTATAACTATTTTGATGATGTTTATCACTGATCGTAATTGAAGTTACAGATAATATTAATTTTCCCGACGAAAAAAATAAACCGTGACCATGAAAAAGTTCACTTCATTGTTTCACAGAGCAGCATGTGTCAGCAGCAATATTGGTTTAAAAATTTAGGCCGCGATTTTTTTTTTGGTGTTCCCTCCGCCAGACTATAAATATAGCGACTATCATCAACGTTGATGAGCTGGACAAGCGTTGAAGGCTAACTGGGTGATGTTGGGATGACATTTACGTGCGTTTGCACTCGGCTACTGACAAGCACGAGATGTTTTACACGTTTGGCTGTCAGTTGGGTGCATGCAGCTGATTGTGAGACCGGGTTAGCGTGTTTATTGTTTCTGTACAAGTGATACCTGGAAATTGAAACTGAATGCAGATGCATGTATGGAGAAAATGTGTAATGGGTTTTTGAGAGAATCAGGCCCTGTCAATTGGCTGTGAACATTTAATTCGAAATTTAATTTAAATTGGCTAACTCTTAGGATTTCTGTAATACAGTTAAGCTTCTTCTTCTTCGCATTTCAAGCTTATTGCATATCGCATATAAGCTTATTGCGTGCTCTCAACTTAGTGTTCTAGATGCACTTCCACAGTTATTAATTGAGAGCTTTCGATGCCTGTACCATTTTTGCATTGGTATAATTGTGTGGCAAGTCCAATCATACTTCTATGCCCAGGGAAGTCGAGAAATTTTCCAATCCGAAAAATTTCTAGACCGAACCGGGAATTGAACCCAGCCACCTCCAGCATGGTCTTGCTTTGTAGCTGCGCCTTTACCGACTGAGCTAAGGGAGGCCCAGGAATTGAAGATTTGTTTAAATTACGGCTCAATTTGAGATAAAATTTGCGACAAATCAGCGCAAACTTTATCAAATGTTAGCGTCTTATAGCAAATGCTGTTTTTAGACCAATTGCTAACAATGATGTAATGGACAACGAGCAGAAGGTCAGTGGTTCAATATCAGACCCACCCATATAAAACATATGAATGATTCGTTGACACTTAGTGTTTGATTTGAGTTTGATGATGACCTTCTTTAAGATTTATTTTGATCGATAGACAAAAGCAGACTATCCTTTGTATCATCCTCTCCAAATTCTCAAAAAGTAAAGGGGTAAAAGTTGGTATCTAGAAAAAGACTACTATTAGCCTACGATTCATAAGTATTCAGAATTATACGAAATGACATTATGTGGAATGTGTCAAACCCTATTTGAAGATGTGAAACCATCGTAGTGAGTGAGGAAAATGCTAAAATGCGGGAAATTTCAAAGCAATTCTTGAATAAAGGAAAAAAGTTGCACGTCTTATCATACAATGAAAGGGTGCAAATTTAACATTCAAAAGAGATCACAATCTACATGATACTCTTAACACTTAAAATTGGCATTTCAACAATAGAATAACCAAAGCCAAGGCAAACACATCTTCCGTTTTTGGTTTCAATTATATCTAATCGAATTTCATTCAATTTCGATTCAAAATGCGCACAAACTGTTGAAATCATACAGCCTCACCAGAGACACAAATGCTAACCGATGGTATAGCCACGCCAGGCCACATTCAATATGCAATGTCACCATTGTTATAATGCGTGTGTGTATATATGTATGTATTGGTGCTCGAGTAGGCGGTCGAAACATCACCGATTCACAGAGGAGTAACTAGAACAAACATCTGGCCAAAATTCAAAAAATAACAAGAACATTTTTTAAATTTTTCTAAAATGCATATGTATATACAAACATATACAGATACGCTGTATATACAGGGTGTTCGGTTCCTTAGTGCAAATAATTTTAGGGGTGGTTTTTCTTCTAAAATGTGTCTAAATGCAGCTTACTTAAAGGAGAAATGACACTATTAAGTAGGAAATTTACCAAGCTGTCCAATGGAGGCAAGAGTTTTGGGCTAAATGACATAGTTTTCAAGTTAGATGGCAAGCATAGACCAAAACAGAAAAAGTTCAATAACTCAGTAATCTTTGAGATTTGATCATATGCGTAGAACAACTGTTTACTTCAATTATGATCTTCTATCACCCCTTAATTTATTTGCACTAAGGAACCTAGCACCCTGTATATACAGCGTATCTGTATATGTTTGTATATACATATGCATTCTAGAAATATTTAATAATCCAAGAAGATATACGTTTGAATTTGTTGCTATTAATCAAACATATATTGGTTATCGGTATAGTACTGGGCTTATTGAATGCGTATGAAGTTATGGTTATTATACAAAAAAGCCTTTCCAAAAAAATAAAATCCCTTGAAATACAATGCACTTCGCTTTTTGAAATTTTGCACATTTGTAGTCATAATACCATCTATTACGATAAAAGTTGAAAATCTAGTGTTTTACTAAAATTGCTCTAACTTCATACAGGCTCTGCCAAAAAAAATCAAAACTATACCGATTAATCAATAAAAAAATTGTTCTTGTCAGGTGGATTTTTAAAATCTATCTATTCATAGTGTTTAAAAAAATTATTCATTCAGATGTACGATCAATTTTGCGACACACTGTAGCTTCAGTTTGTCGTTAACCATCATCATCATTCATTCATCAGATACATTTAAATTCGAAGAAAATACTTTGTTTACATCCAGTGTCAGGTGATGGTGATTTCGGCACTTATTTTTATTGGATTCTTTCCTCAGTGCTTATTAAACTATAAATACGCGGTCCGTGTAATTATAGTTTAGATTATCGACATTCACTCTGATGGATATTCATCCATCGAATACTCATCCAAACTTGTCGGAACTCCAGCGCTAGACCGTATAAAAGTGGTCCGCTCTGTGAGTTGAAATGTAAATGACTTCAACTTTTTGCAGAATGCAGATGCAGAATCTTTCGAGATCTGGCCATATCCGGACCAATTGAAATTTAACTTGTTATGAACTCATTAGAGGTAAGCAGTCATCTGGACTCGTACGAGTTGGAATTTTCCTGCCATTTGAAAACTGTATGTTTTTCTCATTCTAAAGCAAATTATGCAAATTTAACTATACAAATATATATACACACTTAGAAAAAACCATGTGAATTTAGGTGTTCTGAGAGTGACATATACGAGCGTCAATTTTGACGTAAATTAGAGTCATAACATACGCTAAATATAGCTTAATCATACGTACTTTTCGTCGAGCAACGAACTTTTCAGTTTCGGTGCAATTAATATTACATGACATATTTGTTTACGTCTCAGCTTGTATGTCAAAGATGGCTTGCGTCACGTGTAAAAGTAGTTATTTCTAATTGTGTATGATATAATGCATTAACATCATTAAAACAACAGTACAAAATTTACGCTAGGTTTTTGACCTACATAGTTACTCCACTGTGCGACTGTGTGTTTCGATGATTATTGTTTCCCATATTCCGTGATAACTGCAGCTAACTGCTCACGGCAAGGACCTCCACCCCTATGCCCTTGTCGTGAGCGGTTATGTGCAGTTTTTGTGTGGACATATGGCAACCGCTAGAGCGCCGGGAGGTGGTTTGAGGCGTTTTCAATTGAAATCGAAAAATGACAAATCAATCCAACCACACCACAAACCCAGCGTCTACAACATTGTCATAGGACCAACCCTTTGTACATTGCTAATATTACAACCACGAACCGGTGTTTATTTGTTTATCGAAACTAATTTTCAACGATGAAAATTAGGTATGACTATTGTTTTCTGGTGGAGGTGGTGGCA